ACCTCGCCATCCCTGGGGGGCTGCGATCTGCGAAACTGTCGCCATTTTCGAGGCCTGCTGGGGGGCCCAGCACAGTGAGGGCCACGCGCGGATTCAAATTAGACCTCGCCATCCCTGGGGGGCTGCGATCTGCGAAACTGTCGCCATTTTCGAGGCCTGCTGGGGGGCCCAGCACAGTGAGGCCACGGGCAGATTCAAATTAGACCTCGCCGTCCCTGGGGGGCTGCGATCTGCGAAACTGTCGCCATTTTCGAGGCCTGCTGGGGGCCCCAGCACAGTGAGGGCCACGCGCTGATTCAAATTAGACCTCGCCATCCCTGGGGGGCTGCGATCTGCGAAACTGTCGCCATTTTCGAGGCCTGCTGGGGGGCCCAGCACAGTGAGGGCCACGCGCGGATTCAAATTAGACCTCGCCATCCCTGGGGGGCTGCGATCTGCGAAACTGTCGCCATTTTCGAGGCCTGCTGGGGGGCCCAGCACAGTGAGGGCCACGCGCGGATTCAAATTAGACCTCGCCATCCCTGGGGGGCTGCGATCTGCGAAACTGTCGCCATTTTCGAGGCCTGCTGGGGGGCCCAGCACAGTGAGGGCCACGGGCAGATTCAAATTAGACCTCGCCATCCCTGGGGGGCTGCGATCTGCGAAACTGTCGCCATTTTCGAGGCCTGCTGGGGGGCCCAGCACAGTGAGGGCCACGCGCGGATTCAAATTAGACCTCGCCATCCCTGGGGGGCTGCGATCTGCGAAACTGTCGCCATTTTCGAGGCCTGCTGGGGGGCCCAGCACAGTGAGGGCCACGGGCAGATTCAAATTAGACCTCGCCATCCCTGGGGGGCTGCGATCTGCGAAACTGTCGCCATTTTCGAGGCCTGCTGGGGGGCCCAGCACAGTGAGGGCCACGCGCAGATTCAAATTAGACCTCGCCATCCCTGGGGGGCTGCGATCTGCGAAACTGTCGCCATTTTCGAGGCCTGCTGGGGGGCCCAGCACAGTGAGGGTAATCGCGGCAGATTCAAATTAGACCTCGCCATCCCTGGGGGGCTGCGATCTGCGAAACTGTCGCCATTTTCGAGGCCTGCTGGGGGGCCCAGCACAGTGAGGGCCACTGGCAGATTCAAATGAGACCTCGCCATCCCTGCGGGGCTGCGATCTGTGAACCTGTCGCCACTTTCGAGGCCTGCTGTGATCCCCGTTTTCGAAGTGGCTAGGAGTGCTCAGGAATTGTAAATCATCAGCTTTATCAAGCCCTTTTCCTGTAGCCAGTGTCCTGCGAGTCTCCCGAATTCCGTCTTCAGACATATGTAACCCTCGCTCCGTCATCGCCCCCTTATAAAGTATCCTAAACTATTTGCGCCCCGCTTTTGCGCAGGGGTTGGGTACGTCGCCAGGGTATTTTTTTTGTTTTCTTGTCACTTTGGGGCCCTTTAGATTTGAATGTGGAGAAGTGTCTGGCGGGGGCCTCGTGTGTGAGTGAATTGCGAGGAAGTCTCAGGCGGGGGCATTCTCTCTATAGGGCTCGCCGCTCATGCCGCGTGCCGCTCGGGGTTTGCCGTGGCGCGCGCGTCGTACGTCGCCTCCGCGCCGTCGCAGGGCCAGGCGCTGCGCGAGGGAGTCGCCATCGACTGCGCCAGGGGCGAGGGCGCTGGTCGCACGGACATGTCAGACGAGTAGTGGTGGCTGCATCTCTACGTCATGCTCTCCCGCGCCACGCGCGCGCGGAACATGCTGACCCCGCGGCCGTCGCCGCGAGAGAGAGAGTTCTGGGGTGCGGAAGGCGCTCCTGGAGTTCGACCTCAGAGCGGAAAGCTCCAAGGCAGAGGCGGAGCTGCTCGCGGCAGAGGTGGGCGTCGTGCTGCCCGCCGCGTGATCGCGGCGGCGCCCCGCCCGGGGCCCGTGGGGTTGTCCCAGCGACTTGGCCAGCGGCTCGAGGGGTTGCCCCGGCGGCCTGGCCCGCGGCGCCGTCCCCGACGGCTGCGCGATTTCGCCGTCGGAAAAGCCGCCCCTGCCAGGCGCGGCGGCGAGGGCGCCGAGGAACATCTGCGCGCGCGCGCGCCCCTGCCAGGAGGAAGGAGAGGTGCAGGAGGAGAACGATTGGGTGGTAATGGGGGGGGTGGGGGGGAAGAAGGAGGAGGATGAGGAGGTGGAGGAGGGCAAGGCAAAGGCCGAGGAGGAGGAACATGAGGAGGAAGGGGGAAGTGAAGGAGGCAGAGAAGGAGGGGGAGGAGGCGGAAGAGGACGAGACATTTAACAATTAAGACAAGAAGGAACAGGGGAGGAGGAGGAAAAGGAGGAGAAGGATGAGGGGGGGGGGAGGTAGGGGGAGGGCGGAGGGGGCGGAAGGGGGCCTCCGCCAGACGAAGAAGAAGCGGGCGAGGGGCAATCGACATCGATTCTCATGTGGGGTCTTACCGTCGGAGTAATTATTGTAATCGTTAGGATTCGTGGCCACGAGGCCCAGGCCGAATTCGCAGAAAGCGACGGGGGCGGTGGGGCCGGTGGCGCTTTTGGGCAGCCTCCGTGGGGTGGGTTCGTAGCCTCGGCAGCGCCGCTGTGTGGTGCTTCAGAGAGGATTGTGGGTTCGAAAGCGCAAGCTTGTTGTAGCTTGCAAAGGGTCGCGGTCTCGGGGGCGCGAGCCAGGCAAAATTCATCGGGGGGCTTGCGCAGGGGGGCGCGAGCCGTAATCTGCCAAGAATTCTTGCTTTGGGGGCGCCAGTGCGAGGTGCTTTACAGGCGATTGCGGCTCGGGGGATGCAGGCTTATGGTAATATGGCAATGTGCAAAGGGTGGTAGCTAGGAGAACGCGCGCATGGTGTAATTCACCAGATATTGCACCGTAGGGAGCGCGAGCCTGCTGCAAATAGAATGGTTGCTGTCTCGTGGGCACGAATCTGCAGTCACTCACGAGCGATTGTGGCTTGGGGGGCGCGAGTCAGGCGCAATTGGCAAAGAGATCGTTTGCCTCGGGGGCGCGACTCTGAAGTCACTTGCGGGGGATTGGTGGTCCTGGGAAGCCCTGAGAGTGTCATTCTGGCGTGATCCGCGGGCGCCTTTTCTGGGCTCGTCCCGCCGCCCGGCCTTCGTTGCGAAGTCAGTGGGCACGGCGGAAGACTGCGGCGCCTCTGCCTCGCAGCCTGCTGGCCCTTCAGGTGGGCTGGTGGGTCAGGGCTGCGCCTGGTCGCGCCGCGCCTTTGCAGTGAACCCGTGCAGTAGAGGCGCGTGATGGGGATGCAAGGGCCTTGGGAGGCCATGTCGACGCCTTTGCGAGCGGGGCGCGGCCGGCGAAAGCGGCCATGGATGGGGGCGAAGGGTGGATGCAAAGATCTTCTTGTGAAGTCGTTAATCTTTGCTGTGCGGGTGGGCTGTGCGCCTTGCCCGCAGTATCCCCCATAGCTGGCGCATGCGCTGCAGCGCGCGTCGAGTCATGCCCGCGTATGCCCGCGCGCGCGGCATGAACAAATCTTGGACCGCTTGTCCGCGCATGCCCGCGCATGCCCGTGCCAGTTCCTCGCGTGCCCGCGGGTGCGCGCACGCGCCGCTGGCGCGTGCTCAGTGGCCCGCGAGGTGCTGCGCCTGTCTTGAGGCGCGCTGGCTTTACGAGACTGCTGTGCCCCGCGCGTCAGAAGTGGCTTCGCATGGGCGGGGCTGTGTGCGCGCTGGACGTTGGGGCGACCGCCGTCCCGCGTGCACTTTGCGCTCTTCCACGTTGCGCCTGCTCCATAACGTGTCGAGCGGCGGTTTTCCCATGCTAAGCCGGGGGCGCTCGGCGTCCCTGCGCCCCGTCTGAAGGCGCGACTGGGCAGCGACGGGCGTGTCTAGTCGCCTGCGCGCGTGGGCAGGTTTTCCCTGGCGGTGGCTTTCCTTCCAGAGCTGCTGCTGTGTAGCTAGGGTTTCAACTTTACCGCGCCCCCTTTGCAATTGAGTGGGTGCTCAGTGGTTGCGCGCGCTTCCGCTCCGCGTGGGGCGGGCGAGGAACGCGGGGTGCATCCGACGGGGCAGTGGTGAGCAAACCGGCGATATGCAGTTAAGCAACCAAGCGAATTAGTGCACAAGGGAAGGGGCCGAAGGGCAGTCGGCGCCAAGAAGTTTGCGGACATGAAGGAGGGGTGGGGGCACAGAGCCCGCGTGGGCCAACCAAATGGGTGCGCGGATCGTAGAATCGAGGCCTCCATTGAGCGACGTGCGGGGGGGCGCGTGCTCTCGGCGCGACGGAGGACTGGCGTTGGCGTGATGGCCGGGCGGGAAGAAGGCCAGAGAAGCACGTGAAGGCGTGGAGTCGTAAGCGTGTCCATTTGCCCCCGAGGGGCCTCGCGCTGAATCCCTGGCTGGTCAAGGGCGGTCGATGGGGGCGGCGTTGTGGCGCGCCCCGCGCCCCCGACGAGTTTCTCGCGTCTCGGCGGCGCGCCGCCGCGGATCAGGGGCCCTGGGGCCGCGGCGGCGACGGACTGACGCGAAAGTAATCCCGTTAAGAATGGCGTGCGCCACTGCTGATCCATGTCTGGGTCCAAATGCCACCTGCGCGTTTCCGTGGTGCCGGGGGGTGCCCGTAGAGCAGGCTGCGCCCTGCGGGGTAGGGCGGGGCAAGCGCGCTGCTCACGGTTGAGCGTCGCCAGCAGCCAGGAGGAACCCGAAGGTAGAGGAGACGGGAATGCGGCCGCGGGGTGTGAACCACCCGACCCCGCCGTTAGCGCGCGCCCCCGCCCGAGGCGAGGAGTGGGAACAGAGGGAGGGGGTGGGGTGGGGGGGGCTGACGAGCGCAGCAAGCTGGGCGCAGCCAAGCCGACTACGGGGGAGGCAAGGCGGAATAGTGGAAACGGAACGCCAGGAGGAGAGCCCCCGCCCGCGCGCCAGGGGCGCGCGGCCCCAGAGCTGGTGGCGAGCAGGCCTGCGGCCGCACTTCGCTGCAGGGCCGCGGCCAAGTCGCGCCGCAGGTCGGCGAGCTGGCGGTGGCGGCGCTGGCCCTCAGGCAGGGCGGCGCGCGCCGACGAGCTGGGCTCGCGCCCTCATCGGCCGCCCGCCTCGAGCGGCAGCGGCTGTCCACCAGGGTCACGCGTGTGTTTGGTGCGCTCCTGGTTGTGTAGCTCCAAAGCGTGGGCGGGCTCCGTGGCCCACTGGCCTGGTCGGTCCCGGGTGTGCACGCGCTGTTCGGCGTGCTGTGCTCGTGGCCAGCGCTGGTTCGAGCCAGCTCTGAGGCGCTGCTGGCAGCTCTTGCTGAGGCTCGGGTAATCGCCGGCGCCGTCGCGCTCGCCCCCGCGCGCTGCAGTGGTGGGGCCATGAACAGGACTCCCCTGTGAGCCTGGCGGTTGCGCAGTAAAAGGCATTGCTTTCTGTGCTCCCGCTACTGCCTCGCTGTCCGCGCGTTCTCTGCCCCCTTCCCCCTTCCCTTGCTCCGCCCCGCATCGTTGGTCAAGTTCTTCCCGCGTTGTTCTGGCCCTGCTTGCGCGCGTCGTGTTGCTCCGCTTCGTCGTTGCCCTCTCGCGTTTTCCTCCCGCGCTGCGCGCCTGCCCCCCCGTTGCCCTGGCGCCGTGCGTGGTGGTTGTCGTGCCGTGCCGTGTGTTGTGGGCCGCGTTGCGTTGTGCTGCCGTGCCGTGTCGTGACGGGGCTTGCTCCGGGGTCGGCTTGTGCCGTTGCCGTGCTGGGCCCTGCCGCGAGGTGTCGCTTTGCCCTTCGCGCCCCGCTGCGAGAGTGACGCTCCTCCCTCCCCTTGGCAGAATTTGCAAGGGTGCGTTTGAAAGGGTGGGGTAAATGAGTGCCGCGTGGTCGTGAATCGTCGCGTACCTAGGTGTGTTGAAATGCTTCATGCTCTGTTCTTATTTGTTGTGCGAATTTGTACTCAGTGGAGTTCCGACTGGGTTTGTTTTCTTGCTTGTCCCGAGGATTTTAGCCCTTCTTGCTTCCTTGTTTGCCTTGTGCGTCTTTCTCGCTCTCCTGCTTTCGTCCGCCTTTCCGCTGGTCGCGCGCGCAAGACAATCGTTTTGCCGCCTTTCTCGGGCCGGGGGGGCGCTTTTTTCAACGGCAGGCGCCGTCGCCCTCGGTCGCGGGGGGGCGGGTGGGTCGGCGTGGGCTACGAGCTCGCTGCATTCCCGCAGGGCGCCGTGCGAAGGGCGATAGGGGACCCGACCTTGGGCGGGGGCACCCTGCGCCCAACCTCGCCCGCATCTCTCCGGGGGCGCGCCGGGGCGCCGCCGCGGCCCGCGGGCCGTGCGCGGGCGGCGCGCGGCGCGCGGCAGGCGTCGGACCCGCGGCGGCCGATGCGGTGGGCCAAAAACAGAATGAGCGCGCGGCTGGCAGTTCTGGTCTGCCAGAGTCTTCGAGGAGGCAGCCCGAGCGCAGCTCTTTGACGCCCTCGATCCAGCAGCCCGCGCCCTCCTCAGGTCCCAGAGTGGGCCGAGCGCATGATGGGGCCTTCACCTTGTTGCTCACGCGTGGGGTTTTCGAGATCCTGCCAGCAGAACCAGAGTCTTGCTTGTCAGGCGCTTGCGGCTTGATTCGTCCTTCGCAGCGAGCGCGTGCAGATGCAGAGGTAGACTGGGTGCAAGAGGCGACCGCGGAGCAGCGTGCCCAAGGGCTTGGGTTTTCAAGAAGAGGTCCATCCCTCTGGGGAAGGCAGCCGCGCGCATCTGCCGGGAGGCTGGGGCAGAGAACCATCTCCTGGGAGACCTCGACGTCGACGGCGTCGACCCCCTCGGTGGGTGCAAGCTCGAGGTGATCGCTAATGGCCTGCCGCTGCGGGGCCGAGCCCAGCTTGCGATCGACGCGACCCTGGCGTTGCCCGTTCGAGCGGACGGCGCTGCGCAGCCCGGAGCCTCGGACCAAGACGGTACCTAGCTGGCGGTCGCGCGGGGCCAGAGAGGGGCCACGTGCCCCGAGCTCCTCGGGTCGAGGATGCTGGCTGGTCGTTCTGGGTCTGGAAGTCGGTGGCAGGTGGTCAGAGAAGGCTCTGATCTTCGTCCAGCTGCTCGCCAGGGCCAAGGCCCGCAGCTCGCCGCGGCGCCTCCGAGCGTCTGCGCAGGTGGCGTGCCTGCGCTGCTGGATCGGCCTGGCCGCGGTCGCAGCCCAGTGGGTTTTCGCGGCCGCGCTCCTGGAGCTGCCGCCGCGCGCGATGGCCGTCGACGGCGACGAACCGCACTCAGCCGAGCTCCTGGCGGACGCCCGCAACGCGGAGACACCGGGGCTCAGCCGCTTGCCGTCGTGCCCTTCGTGCGGTGGAACGGGCGGGGCCCCGCCCGGGGGGCCCGCCTGCCGGCGCAGCAGGAGCCCGGACCAGCAGCGCGCAGCAGCAGCAGCAGCAGCAGCAGCAGCAGCAGCCGCAGCAGCAGCCGGCATTAGCAGCAGCAGCAACACTACCAGCTGCAGCGCCAGGACGGCGACCGGCAAGTCCTGCACGACTGCGACCAGAAGGACCACGACAACAGCCAGCAGCGGCACCAACGCAAGGGCGTCCAGAAGTGCCACCGCCAGCAAGGCCACCATGACTACGACCGACAGCACCACCACGACCGTGACCAGCAGGACCGTGACAACGGCCACGACTGCAACCAGCAGCAACACCGCGTCTGCGAGCAGCAGCGCCGCCATTACGACCAGCAGCACCACGACCACTACGGGGACCAGCAGCACCCCCACCGGCAGCACCACGACGACGGCGACTAGCAACGCCACCTCGACCCCAGCAGCACCCCGACGACGGCCAGCAACGCAGCCGCCAGCAACGCCGCCAAGACTGCGACCAGCAGCGCTACCACGACCGCGACCAGCAGCACCGCGACAGCAGCCAAGACCGCAACAACCAGCAGCACCACGATTACGACCAGCAGCGCCACCACTATTATGGGGACCAGCATCACCCCCACCAGCAGCACCACCACGAAGGCGACAAGCAACGCCACCACGACTGCGACCAGCAGCACCCGACGACGGCCAGCAACGGCACCGCTTTTACTACAGCAACCAGCAGCGCCACCGCGACGGCGACCATCAACGCCACCACGACTGCGACCAGCAGTACCGCGACAACAGCCAGCAGTGGCCCCACCACGACGGCGACCAGCAACGCCACGACCAGCAGCACCACTACGACTGCGGCCAGCAGCACCACCACGACCGTCACCAGCAGCACCGCGATTTGCCACGACTGCAACCAGCAACACCACCGCGACAGCGACCAGCAGCGCCACGACTACGACCAGCAGCAGCAGCAGTAGCAGCAGCACCACCACCACTACCACCGCCAACACGGGGACCAGCAGCATCCCCACCAGCAACGCCACAACGGCCACTGGCCGGCAACGCCACCACGATGGCGACCAGCAGTACAACGATCACGGCCACCAGCGGTTCAACCACCACCGTGACCAGCAGCGCCACTACCAGCAACGCCACCACGACGGCGACCAGCAGCACCACCGCGACTGCGGCCAGAAGCACCGGGCGACAGCAACTACTGCAACCAGCTGCGCCACCGCGGCAGCGACCGGCAGCACCACGACTGCGACCAGCAGCAGCAGCAGCAGCAGCAGCAGCAGCAGCAGCAGCAGCAGCGGCAACAGCAGCAGCAGCAGCAGCAGCAGCAGCAGCAGCAGCACCTCCACCACCAACTCCACGGGGACCTGCAGCACTCCCACCAGCAGCACCACAACGACGGCGACCAGCAACGCCACCACCACCGCGACCAGCAGCAGCAAGCACCGGCACCACCGCGACGGCGTCCAGCGGCGCCCCCGCCAGCTTCGCCACCACGACTGCGACCAGCAACGACACCATGACCGCGACCAGCAGCACCGCGACAGCGACCAGCAGCGCCGCCGAGACGGCGACCAGCGGCACGAGACAACGGCGCTGCCGGCATTCGGCGCCCAGCACAACGCCAGGAGGAAGAGGAAGGAGAGAAGGCGGATGACAGGGGGGCCAGAGGGAGCGCGCCCGGCGCCAAGAGGAGGAGGAGGAGGAGGAGGAGGAGGAGGAGGACGAGGAGGAGGAGGAGGAGGAGGAGGAGGAGGAGGAGGAGGAGGAGAGGAGGAGGAGCAGGAGGAGGAGGAGGAGGAGGGGAGGAGGAGGAGGAGGAGGAGGAGGAGGAGGAGGAGGAGGAGGAGGAGGAGGAGGAGGAGGAGGAGGAGGAGGGGACTGAGGGGACCGACTATGCGGCCGCTGTCTGTACAGCAGCCCTCGCCGACGCTTGGCGGACGCGCCGCCCCGACCCCAGGGGGAGTCGCAACCCCTCCCGGGTGCACGACGGGGCGGCAGAGGGGCCCAGGGCCCGAAGCCAAAGCCAGAGGGGGCCCGTTGCAACCCCTCCGAGGCTCCGAAGCCTCTGCAGCTCACGTAACCTGGGCCACGCAACCTGCCACCTTGCTGCTCTCGGAGAGCAGGTCCAGGCCGTGCCTCTCCGCGCAGGGCATGATCGAAAGCTGGGCGAGGGCTGCTAGAACCGTGGCTGCTAAAACAACTTCCCGGAATGAGGCGCGGCACGCGAAACAGTCAACAGGCTTCTTCCCGGAAGGACGAAGACAACTTCCCGGAGGTCGATTTTAGAAGCCACGGATTTAGCAGCCCTTGCCCGGCTTCCGACATGAGGTCGTCTGCGCTGACGTTCCCTTCCAGGGACCCCTGCTTCTCGAGCAGCCCGAGGAAGGCCGAGAGGGAGAGTGTGCTGACCCCCGCCTCGTCGCCCTGGTCGGCGAGCTTCTCCTTCTCGATGCCTTTGCCGACCTCCACCTCCTCCAGCTTCGGAAACTCTGGAATCATCGGCAGGCCATGCTTGATCTCACCATCCTTAATGTCGCCATCAAAGTCCTTGTAGTTCTTGCTGAAAGTGGAGCCGCTGTTGTCCACGTCGAACTCCGCCTCATCGTTGTGCCACTGCGCCCAGCCATCTGCAGACTCGAACCCGTCGTCCGCCATGCTGAACACTTCCAAGCTGGTCTTAGATTTGCCCTGCTTCAGCGGGCGCGGTCCATCCAAGGAGCCTCTGGGGAAGGCACCTCGCCCATCTGGTTGTCCTCCATCTGCTTCAACCGCCGCCTCTCCTCCGCCGAGAACCTCCGAGGGATCGAAGGTCGAGTTGAAGCACTCCTGGTAGCTCTTGAAGCTCTTCTCCTCTTGCGAGTCTTCCTCGTCGCAGCTGAGCTCGAGGAACGCACCCGCTTCTCCTTCTTGCGCTTCTTGGCCGACTTCTTCTTCTCCTTCTTCTTGTCCTTTAGCGTGTAGATCTCCACATCCTCCGAGGCCTCCTGGTTCTGCGGCTGAGTACCCTCCGCCTCCTCCGAGATGACTTCCTCCTTGACCTTCAGAATCGGTGTAGGCGCCGCAGATGGCCCTGGTGGAGCTGGAGTCGGAACTGCAGCCGACTCCTTCTTGCTCTGGATCTCCTCCAGCGTGTTGGACCACTCGTCCAAGTCCTTCGTCGCCTGGTCGAACCCTGGGGGCGGAAAGGAAGGCGGCCGCGGTGTGCGGGACGGCGCCCTCGCTCCCCTCCACTCGTAAGGAGGCCTCATCCTTCCCCCAGAACCCCAGTGGGATCTCCGAGACTAGGATCTCCTGCGTGATTCCGTACTGGAAGAGACGCGTATTCGTCATTCTCGATGACGGTATCGCTTTGGGAGGCACAAGCGGCACGTGCTTCGGTGTCGCGCCCGTGTACCTCCGTGGTGGAGATCGTACCTGTCGCTCGCCAGCCGTAGATGTCATCGCAGACGTTCACTCTCAACGTCCTGAAGGGTGAACCCACCTGGGTCTCGATGTCCAAGAAGAGCTGGCCAAGAACAGCTCCAGCACCTGGCCTCTGGTCCGTGCTGAAGCCAACGTAGAACTCGAACTCCCTGATCATGCCTCCATGGCTCGGCAGCGCTGCGCCGCTGCGAAGTGCGCGCTGCCACCGCTCCCCCAGAGCGCGCGGCGGCTATGCTTGAGCCAAATGGCTTGAGCCAAAAGGGCTACGGATGAGGAGGAGGAGGAGGAGGAGGAGGAGGAGGAGGAGGAGGAGGAGGAGGAGGAGGAGGAGGAGGAGGAGGAGGAGGAGGAGAGGAGGAGGGAGGAGGAGGGAGGAGGAGGAGAGGAGAGGAGGAGGAGGAGGAGGAGGAGGGGGAGGAGGAGGAGGAGGAGGAGGAGGATGAGGAGGAGGAGGAGGATGAAGAGGAGGAGGAGGCGGAGGAGGAGGAGGAGGAGGAGGAGGAGGAGGAGGAGGAGGACTCCGCAGCCCCGTGCCTCTGGCGGCGGCCGAGTCTGCCAGTCTGGCGCCGACCACGCCGCGCGGCTGCCCGTCGCCTCTGGCTGGGGCGGACTGCGCTGGCTCCGAACCCTCCTTGCCTGCCGAGCTGCAGCCGCCGCCTGTGGGGCCGCGGGGAGTCGGGGGCGATGCGCCTGGCCAGGTCGCCTCCCTGCGCCTGCTGTGTGGGCTGAGGCCGCCTTGCGGGCGCTGAGGTGCACCCGTGCTGTTGCCGTAGGGGAGGAATGACGCAACCAGTTGTAGCGTCGTTTCTGGCAGCTCTCGGGCTCCATTGGGGCCCTCTTGGGGCCTCCAGGAAGGGGCCCTGTTGGGGCCTCCAGGGGGCCCTCTTGGGCCCTCCAGGGGACCCTCTTGGGGTCTTCAGGGGGACCGAAGAGCTGACAGAAGTCTGACAGAAACGGCGTCCCTGTTTGAGCGTCATTTCTGTCAGCTTTCTGTCGGTTCTCGGGCCCCATTGGGGCCTTCTAGGGGCTTCCAGGGGGCCGTCTTGGGATCTCCAGGGGGGCCTCTTGGGCCTTGCAGGGGGGCCCAAACGTTGACAGAAAGCAGATAGAAACGGCGTCGCTGCTGCAGCGTCTTTATTGGCAGTTTTCTGTCAGCTCCTGGGCCCCATTGGGGCTATCTTGGGGCCTCCAGATGGCTGGTCCTCTTGGACCCTCCAGGGGACCCTCTTGGGCCTTTCAAGGGAACCGAAGAACTGGCAGAAGGCTGACAGAAACGGCGTCGCTGTTGCAGCGTCGTTTCTGTCAACTTCCTGTCAGCTCTCGGGCCCAATTCTGGCCCTCTTGGACCTCCAGGGGGCCCTCTTGGGCCCTCCGGGGGGCTCTCTTGGGGCCCTCCAGGGAACCCAAGAGCTGCTCTTGGGAGTGCTCATGGAGCGTTTGGAGGCCCCTGGGGCACCGCGTGTGTCAGCTTTCTATCCGCGCCGCTATACATGCATGCATGTATACGTTCTGCGGGGGTCGCGAAATGGATCAGTAGGTATGGGGTTGCATTTCGCACGGGTGCATTAGCAACTTATGATGCGCGTACCATGTGCGCAGGTAGAACCTAAGCGCTCGCGAAATTCGCGTGGTTTTAGTGTATACAGTATGCACACACGTGTGCATATATTTCCCGTGGGGTGGCCACGTACCAGTCTGACCTAGGTAGACGACGCACTCTGACTTTTTGTTTCGTTTGTGACCTTGCAGAGAGGGCCAAATACATCCACAATGACGGGCACAGCAACGCTTCGATGCGTAACGTGTACTGACATGTACACACGGATTCTTAAGTCGACCAGGCCTTGGCATCCTGGTGATCCCGCTCGATTCCTGATCGATTTCGTATGACGACAAATCCAACATACTTCAGACCGTGCGCGGCCATATTATCTAACAATTCGTGTTTCATGCATTCCGTCGGCAGGCCGTACCCTGCGTCCAGTGCTTCTAAGGAAAATCTGCTGTGGGCGTCTTGGTGTGGACCACCAGGCTAGGTTTGCCGGCTGCGCTGCCGCGCGATTCTGCCACCGCGCTCGGGCAGTCGCTGGGGGAATGGGGGGGGCGCCCAGGGGGCGAAGGAGGGGCGGCGGGGGCGGCGGAGGGCGGCCGGGTCGGGGACGGGTCACGGCATTTGGCCGACCCCCACCTGTGTTGCCGGGACTTGGTCGGACGAACAAAAGGGCGTCGGATGTAACATCTTTCGTCTTCGCTGCATGATTGATGAGTTCTGATTGAACTCGCTTGGGCCGTCTTGGGGCTGCCGTGGCCTCCTGTGCCCTCTTCGGCCGTCTTTGAGCCCTCTTGCGCCGTCTCGGGGCTCACTTGGGCCGCCGGCCATCCGGGCCGTATGGTGAGTGTCTGGGGGCCGTCGTGGCCGTTTTGGGTCGTCGACAGGCCTTCCAAGTTCCAAGGCCGTCGTGGGGTCCCACGGGAGGCTCTCTTGGGCCGTCTGGGGGCCATCTTGAATGCCTTTTGGGCGGCCATCGTGTGACGTCTTTGCCAATATTGGGGCCCTCTTGGGGATCTCTTGGGCCGTTTTGGGGCCATCTAATGTCTCTTGGACGGCCATCGTGGGACGTCTTGGGCAATCTTGGGTCCCTCTTGGGGACCTCTTGGGCCGTCTTGGGGCCATGGTGGAGTCTTTCTTGGCCGTCCAAAGCTGACAGCAGGCTGAATCAACGAGAGTTCGACAATTAGCCCCGAACCCAAGGCACATCGCTTATTTTTAGTTCTTCGGGCTCTGTTGGAGGTCAGTCTTGAGGCCATCTTGGGCCGCTTTGGGGCCATCTTTCAGGAGGGGAAGAAACACACAGACACAATTCATCGTCGATCCCAAGGAAAATATGCGAAAATATGGGAAGTGGGGGGGAAGACAAAAACCCAGAAAATATGGGAAAATATGGGGAATCATTTTATTTGTGTGTATTTATTTGTGTGTTCTGGGGCCCCTTCAATCTTGGGGCGTCTTCGAGGCATCGTGGGCCATCTTGGCGTGCTTGGCTGCCTGCACGGGCCGCCTTGGAGGCTCGGGACGCGGATCGACTGTTGTTTCTGCGAGGGATCGCGGCCGCGGGATCGCAGATCCATAGTTTTTGCGAGGGATCGTGGCCTTGGGAAGGGGGGCGATGTACGGTAGGTTCACGCGGCGTTGGCGCGCCGGCGACGCCGGCGAAGGCGTTCAAGGTTGAATTCTGCGACGCGGAAGCACCGATGGACACGGTAACGCCATTAGACCAGACGGAATTCAACCTTGAACGGTCGGGTTCGCGATCGATTCAAGGTTGAACGATCGACGCGGTGTCAAAAACCCTTGTGCGCGCCAACGCCGCACGAACCTACCGTATGCAGTTCAACGCTGTTAATTAGGGGTGAGTGCAGGAGACCTGCCAGACAGCCCTTGGCATTCTTCCACGCCTCAACGTGCACAAAGACAAAGCTCGGTGGTGGATCAAGCGATTTCGTGGATCAGCGGCCAGGGTGCGCGTTGAGTAATGGGGGCCGAGGTGTTGGTGCTGATTAACACTGCTTTCGCTGGATGCGGCCAAAGCGTTTTACGCGAATGGGTATTTCCTCTGTGATACTCTAGCATCGGCGGCGAGCGAGGCGGGGAAGTGACAAGGAACAGGCCTTCTCAGAAGGCGGCGGGGCTTCTCATAATCCCTCTGGACTTCTGCGAAGTTCTCTGCGTCTTCGGGACATCTTTGAAAACTGGTCAGATGACCCGAGGCCTTCCGAGCCTGCTCAGAAGGCACGCCCCTTCTCGCTTCCCCCCTGGGCTCGCCGCCGAGTGTTACGCGAATGGCTGCGTTCTCCGTGAGGCTCTAGTGTTCATGGCGCAGCGCTGGAATATTGCCAGCGCGGTCGGCAGGTCTTTGACGTGTTTTGATCGTTCGATTTACGATGGGGAGTCGGCGCGCGCAGACCTTCGCGGAGCAGGGCGGCATTCGCACGCGGTCCGAGCTGTGCATCGCCGTGTTCGTATTCGCTGACTGCGTGTTGCGTGTCCGACGTGACGAGCTCTGAACGGAGAGCAGCTTTAAAACGAAGTTTGCAAAGGCGTGGAGCCTACAAAGGATGATGTTCAATTAAGAGTCGAATCCAGGGCCACACAGGCCATGTGTTGTGGTACGTTCGTTATTGACGCACATCTGCCAAGATATCATAACACGCAAGTTAGGCACACGTTTGCAGGTTCGCAGGCCTTCGAGCACAGTCATGCAGCGTCTGTCATAGCGTGTGACAGGCCTCCGCGTCGAACCTCCTCGACGTCTTCCTGCGCTTGCCTGCAGCACATTTCTTTGCTCGGCGGGGTATCCGATCCCTGGACGGACATGCCCAAGCGCCCAAGCGGTGGCCGTGGTAGCACATGGCAGGCTCTGCCGCGGGCGAGCCGCCCAGACCACTTGACCGCCCTGCCAGTGCTGCTACGGCGGGTGTGCGGGTCTACAAGTACCGCGAGCTCGGGGAGGAGCGCGTGGCGGAGTTCGACGACGCCCACCTGGCGTGGAGCGGAACTTTCGATTCGAGCTCCTCGTCAGGGCACAGCGAGTATCGCGACAGGCTGCGGGCAATTCAGCTGCGGAAGACTGGCTGGAGCAAGGCTCAGATCGCTGCGGACCTGGGGCGCCCAGAAAAGTTTGTGGCCAGATGGTGGCAGATGGAGCCGCTGGCGGTGCCGCGTCCGCCTGGCGTGCACCAGTACCTCGCGCACGGCATGGCCGAGGGAAAGCAAGTCGACAGGACCGACATGTGGCGCGGGGTAGAAGTAATGCGGGCTTTCTTCAAGGACGTAGCAGGCCTCTACGAGGAGGTGGTGTCCACTTTCAGCGGCTGGAAGCAGTCTGCTTCTGAGACGAAGGACTTTCGCACCGCCTCGTACTTCCTGAGATACGACAGGGAGGGCAAGATGCGAATGATGAGCATGAGGTCCTGTGGGTACGAGCCCAACGTCGTCTCGAGACTGGATGCCTTGGTACAGAAGATTCATCGCAAGGTCGGCATATCGGACCCTAGCCATGGTGCGGGCATGTATTGGTTCTCTGACGGCGACGCGAGTGTGGGGAGCCACCGCCATGTTTTCTGGAGCGCGCGGGTTGCTCTGGGTGCTGAGCGAATCATGATGGTCGACACTACGCCCATCCTCATGCAGGAGGGCGACCTTGTCATCATCGGCCCCCAGCGCCACGGTGTGCCGCCTATGCCCGAGGTCGCTGGTGGCAGCCTGCGCATCTCGGTGCCGTTCCGGCCGCAGCCCAGGGACGGCGGACAGGTGGAGGCCGGCCCGACGACCGAGCCCGAGGGCGAGCCCCGCGACGAGGGCGGCTGGCAGGGCGGCTGGGGCGGCGGTGGCCGCTGGGAGGCGGACGAGGGCGGTGGCTGGGAGGGCGACGAGGCCGGCCCTGGTTGGGGTGCGCGCGGTGACGGCGAGCCCTGGCACGACGGCCTGGAGGCCTCGGCCTTGCAGCTGCAGGCGCTGGGCTTCGAGCCGGGCGCCGCGGCGGCCGCGCTGCGCGCCTGCGGCGGGGAGGTGGAGCGGGCCGCGGACCTGCTGCTCGAGAGCGGCGCGGCCGGCGGGGAGGCGGAGGGGCTTGTGGCGCTCCTGGGCGGGGCCGCCGCCGAGGATGGAGGCGAGGGTAGCAGCGGCGACGAGGCGCTGGCGCGGCGGCTGCAGGCTCAGGAGCTGCAGGGCGACCGCGAGGACCAGCAGCTGCTGGAGGAGGAGTTCGCCGAGTACGAGCGAGTCATCGACGCCGACGAGGCCGAGCGCTCGTGGGACGGGTACGGGGATCTGATGCACAACGCGGTCAGGCGTGCAAGCCTGAGCCTGGACACGCTGGGCCCTCAAACTGTCTATTCACTTAGCGCCACCGCACGCACAGAAAAGCAATTCTTCGAGCTGCTGTCGCTGCATTTGGTCAAGGTCTTGTACGACTTTCGGCCAACGGACTACCGCGACGAGGTCCAGAGCCAGCAACCCTTCTTTGAGATTCGGGCGCTGAAGCACCTCTGCAGGCAGCGGGGGGTGCACTACCGACACGTGGCAGTGGGCCGCGAGACTGCCTTCGGCGTGCTGAGGCACCTGCAGAGCGACGAAGTGCAGCACGTGCTCGTGGAGCTCGTATGGCGGGCCAAGCACTCCGGCCGAACGGCCTTTCTCGGCAGCGAGGAAGACTGGCGCGCCGACGGCGTGCGGCTTGCGGTCGGCGAAGAGCTGTCCAGGCATGGCCACGTTGTCGAGCATGAGGACAACAGCGGGGCGCTCGAGAGGCACGACTGGGGCAGGGAGCTGCCAGGCTTCCTGCTGCAGGAGGAGGCGCGGCTGCGGAAGCTGGACGCGCAGCGTCGGGCGGGTGAACTGCAGCGGCCCGAGAAGTCCGCGGCGGACCGCAGCACCGAGGCCGTGGCGCGCGCGCTGGCGGTGGAGAAGACGCGGGTGGACGTGTCGGCCGAGCTGCGCGACGCGGAGAGCCAGACGGACCTGATACGGGCACAGAGGCGCATGGTGCGGCTGCAGGCCGCCGCCGACAAGCAGGAACAGGGCCTGGGCAAGAAGGCGTTGGTGGCCGTCCCCGGCCACGTCCAGCGCGAGGCAGCCCGGCTCCGCGAGCACGCCGAGGCCAAGAAGGCGGAGAAGGCCAAGCCTGACGCGGCCGGGAACGTGCCCGAGACGAGCGGCGGCGCGAGCTCCTCTTGCCCGCGGCCCGCCTGGCCGGCCGCGGCGAGCGGCCCGGCGGACGCCCGCCCCGCCCGCCTAGGCCGCTGCGACGCCGTGGGCGCGCTGGCGCCGCAGGGCGGCGCGCTGCTGGTGCCGCAGGGCGGCGCGCTGCTGGCGCCGCTGGCCGACGGGCCGCCCGCCGGGCACGCGGCGGCGGCTGCGGCCGCGCGCAGCGGCGTGCCGCAGCGGCTGCTGGAGCCCCGGCGCGCCGCGGGGCGGTGGGGCCTCCGCGCGGTGACGGCCGAGCGCGCGGAGGCGGCGGAGGACGGCGGCGGTGGCTCTGCCGAGGATCCGCCGCTGCCGCCCAGCCCAGCAGAGGCCCGTGGGGCGGGCGGCCTGGCGGAGTTGGGCGGCCGCGCCGCGGAGGGGCGCGCGGCGGCGGCGGAGGGCGGCGGCCAGCAGCCCGCCGCCCGAGGGGAAGAGCCGGCGCGGCACAGCCCCGCGCGAGCTGCGCCTCCTGCCGGCCGCTGGGCCGCGCGCCGCGCCGGTGGGAGCAAGAAGGCGTCGTCGTCGTTGGTCCGCGTCGGCCTCCACTTCCGCCCTCCTCCTCCTCCTCCTCCTCCTCCTCATCCTCCCTCCCCCTCCCTCGTCCGCCCTCCTCCTCCTCCTCCTCTTCCTTTCTCCCTCTCTTCCTCTCTTCTCCTCTTCCTCCTCCTCTCCTCTTCCTCATTCTTCTGCTCCCTTTCTTCTCCTCCTTTTCCTCCTCCTCCTCTCCTCCTCCTCCTCCTCCTCCTCCTCCCTTCTCCTCCTGCCTTACCCTCCTCCTCCTTCTTTTCCCCCCTTCTCCTCCTCCTCCTCCTTCTTCCCCCCCCTCTTCCTCCTCGTCCTCGTCCTCCTCCTCCTTCTCGAACCACGGGCGCTCGTCCTCCTTGTTCTCCTTCTCCTGTCGCCTCCTCCTGTCGCCTCCTCCTCTTCCTCCTCCTCCTCCTCCTCACTCCCTCTCAATTTGCTTGCTACTTCGTCTGCGTCGGCGTTTTGCGCGTCACGAATAACGCAACGATCTCCGATCCATGTCTGCGCAACGTCAGACAGGAGGAGGCGGAGGAGGAGGAACTGGAATCCGCCCCTCCCCGTCCCGCTTCCCTGTCGGGCTGCCCAGGCCCACGCTTATCGGTTCTGGGAGCTCCTCGGGACACGGCTCCTCGAGCCAAGCTGCTTGTGAGGCGGGCCCCGAGGCGCTTTCCTTACGTGATGCTCGCATTGTGGGGTCCGAAACCCGGATAGCAGGGCGCCAGAAGGGCGTGGAAAGGTCTTTCGAGGAACTCTGGGAGGACCTGGAGAGGGCTGCCCAAGGACCTTCTGGAGAGCTTCCAGGCACGCGTATTGGGAATTGCTTAGAAAAGGCCTCTCGGGACACGCTGCGAGTGCGCTTTCCTTGCGTGATGCTCGCACTGGGGACCCTACGTCAGGTCCGCTGTCTTGCCCGAGAGGGGCCGCCTGGTGAGCTCGGAGGCGGTGGCGAAAGAGAGAGAGGGAGAGAGACAGGGTGAGGATACACATGTACGGTCAAGAACGTTCACTGAGCCTGTCGCGCCGCCAGTTCTGGCCCATCACGCCTCGGTGCGACACGCCCCGCACGCCCCAGTCCCCGAGCGTCAAAGTGCCGAGCCTTTCTCAGCCTCCCGCTCCGCGGAGCGGAGCGGCACGCCATCAGCCCACCAGGCATGGCGTGTCGCCAGGGCCGCCGCCGCGATACGCTAAGCAAGCAGTTCCCGACTGTATTGTCAGAGGAGGATGGGGGTAGAGATGGCGAGCCTCAGAGGCTGATAAGTCGTGTCTGTCTTCTATGGTCTACCATTCGCTTCTCTGGTAGACCTGCCTTCGTTTTTCGAGTATGCCGACAGTTGCGGTGGATTTCGACAGCTGCAGTTCATGCGTATCGGTTGAGACCAGCACCTCAAACTATGAATATTTAGGGGTGACTGGGCACTATTTCCTCCCTCTTGACGTCTATGTTGGATCCAGGCTGGATGAGGAAGGATAAACGGTGAAGTGCAAACACCGTGTGATGAATTCTGCTGGCAGCCTTCTCCTCCTTCCGCTGCTCCTCCCGCTGCTGCTTCTCCTTCCCGTCCTCATTCCTCTTATCGTTCTCGTCGTCCTCCCCCTTGCTCCCTTGTGCTCCTCCTCCTCCTCCTCCCTCTCTCTTGCTTGTTCCTTTTCCTGTTCGTTCCTCATCCCGCCTTTTTCTTTTTCTAGCCTTCTCTTTCTTCTTGTCCTCTGTTCCCTCCTCTTTGTCCTCCCCCTCCTCCTTTTCCTCGTCATCTTCTGGGACCTCTTGGTGCCATCTTGGAACCGCGTTGTGCTGTCTTTGGGTCGCCTTGGGCGGTCTTGCACTCTTCTGGAGGCCGTCTTGGGGCCGTCTTGGGCTGCACTGATATATCTGTAAGGGCTTCGCCCCCTGCAGCCGGCCCCCTCTCTCAGATAATTGATCATGCAAGAGCTACGTCGTGAGGTCTGGGCGCCGTCTTGAAGCAGCCTCGGAACCTGATGCGAGGTCGAGAAGTATTCGGCGAGAAAGATGTATATCCGTAAGGGCTTCGCCCCATGCCGCCGGCCCCCTGTCTCGGATAATGGGAGATGCAAAAGCTAAATCATGAGGTCTGGGCGCCGCCGTGAAGCAGTGTCGGGATCTGTTTGTTTTTCGACCCTGACGGTACGGATCTGCGTGAGGGTGCCACCGAATTTCAGAAATGTGGCAAATCCTTTTTGTTTTTGGACCCTGACCCCTCCGATCTTCGTGAGGGGTGCAGCCGAATTTCAGAAATGTGGCAAATCCCCTTTGTTTTTGGACCCTGACCCTGTCGATCCGCGTGAGGGGTGCCACCGAATTTCAGAAATGTTGAAAATCCTTTGAGTTTTCGGACCCTGACCCCGCCGATCTGCATGAGAGGTGCCATCGAATTTCAGAAATGTGGCAAATCCCATGTGTTTTTGGACCCTGACCCCGCCGATCTGCGTTAGAGGTGCCACCGAATTTTAGAAATGTTGCAAATCCTCATTGTTTTTTGACCCTGACACCGCCGATCTGCGTTAGAGGTGCCACCGAATTTTAGAGATGTGGCAAATCCCATGTGTTTTTGCACCCTGACCCCGCCGATCTGCGTGAGGGGTGCTACCGAATTTTAGAAATGTTGCAAATCCTTTGTGTCTTTGGACCCTGACCCCGCCGATCTGCGTGAGGGGTGATAGCAAATTTCAGCAATGTGGCAACCCCCTTGTGTTTTTGGACCCTGACCCCGTCGATCTGCGTGAGGGGTGCCACCGAATTTGAGAAATGTTGAGAATCCTTTGAGTTTTTGGACCCTGACCCCGCCGATCTGCGTGAGGGGGCAATTCAGAGCACACGCTCAGGGCGTGCTAAACATGCCCGTTTGGGCCTCCCCCCCCTCGCGCGGCCCATCAACAAGGAACAGTAATCAGCAAGAAGCAGAGCTCTAACAGTGGAAACTGGAAGCTGCAACTGGCACAGGAAACTGCGAACCTTCGGCCTACAGCATGGTGGCCCCACAAGGGGGCCGGCGGATTTGGATGATGTTGTTGAATTCGGTGTTGCATTTTGGACTTGCCCCCGCATGCTGTGCATTTGAGGCCTCTTGGAAAGACTGGGGGCTGCTTGAGGCTAGAGTGGACAAAATCGCGCGGCTGGGGCGGTCTTCGGGCTCCTTGACATCTGTTGTAAGGGACTGAGGCCTCGGGGGCGCGAGAGCGCCGTAATTTGCAAGGAATCCTGGCCTCGGGGGCGCAGTCTTGAGAAAGTTACAAAGGGCTTATGACCTCGGGGACGCAAACATCATATAATTCACGACGGCTTGTTGCCTCGGGGACGCGAGTATGGTGTACTTTGCAAGGTTTTCTGGTTTTGGGGACGCGAACTTCTGGCCTCGGGGGGCGCAATCATTGGGTAATTTACGGGGGGGTTAGGGCCCCAGGGACGCGAACATGGTGTAGTTTTCAAGGGGTTTAGGGCTCCAGGGACGCGAACATGGTGTAATTTACGAGGGCTTGTGGCCTCGGCGACGCGAATACGAGAGTTTATGGCCTCGGGGACGCAACTATGCATAGTTTACTCGGGATCGTGGCCCCGGGGGCGCGAGTGCGCCGTAATTTACGAGGATCAAAGCCTCGGAGGCGCAAATCTCGAGTATTTTTATGGCTCCTCTAGAACTTCTGAGAAACCTCTTGCGGAAGGGTAACTCGGGTAGCTTTCGGCTCCCCCCCCCCCTCGCGCGGACAGGAACAATTTTCTGCAGGAAGCAGAAAGCAAGAGTGCAACACTGCAAACTGAAAACTGGATCTGATGCAGGGAGCAGCAGCCTAATCCTACAACCCTGTTCGGGCCTCTTTGGATTTTCTTTCGCTGCGACAATGGCGGCAACTCGGGAGCCACTCTGGTTCGACACGCCTGGGAGTCAAACGCTGTTAATACGTCAGGGGGGGTCTCGCGGGATCTCGGGGCGCCAGGGGCCGCCTTGGAGGCCTCCTGGGGCCCTCTCCTCAGCGTTGGAGCGGGGCCTGCGGGGAGTCTAATCATGATGCGTTGCATGGGCGCCTTTCTCTCGGCGGCGAAGTCCGAACTCTCCCTCTCTCTGCTCTGGCGTAGTTGACTTTGGCCACGGCCGCAGTGACTATCTTCACGGAGTACTGCCAGCAATACATCATGTAATGCCAACACCATATCCTGACAGCAGGGCACACGAATAAGTACCTCCACCGTCTCCATCTCATATCAGTGTAATTCACTTGGGCCAGGGCCGCAATGAATATATCCTCGGAGTGCTGCCAGCAGTACCTCAAGTACTACCCACATCATGTCCTGACGGTAATGTGCCCATGAAAGAGTACATTCGCCATCACCATTTCAGATCAGACTGTAACGTTCTCCTGGGAGTAATCGTAATCTTTGCCATTTCACACTGTGGTGTGCTACCTGCGTCGGTGCACTCTCTGTGTAAATACTTGCCAACTTAGTAACCCATATCCCTCATCATAATATTGAGGTCACCAGCCACACAATAACAATACGCAAAGAACCCAGACTCATACAGCATCTGCCAAGAAATGACAAAATACCATACAATGATATACTGGACGCTTTGCAATCTTTGCCCAGAGAAGGTAAATACTCGCATCAGACTTATTACCAGAACACATGCACAATATAACAAACAATAATACTCGAGGGGAGGCACGCTCCGTCGCCTTTAAGGGATCGTGCCCACCCGTATGGGCGCTACGGGTCCCCCCCCTCGAGAATGGCAAACCATCGAAGTCCATGAAAACACATACTCGGATATTCATTGATACACCAACTCACCGAGAAAAACCGTATTCTTTGCCAAAACGACTGAGTATGATACATGAGTAATATGCTCCATCTCCCACTGTTCCACCTCATGTTTGCATATCATCGTTTGCCACAGATTGCGGCACAACATTGCTCTTGTCTTCTTTTTTGGAGAAACCTGTTTACATTGCGTACACTCGAGTTCTTGATCAACTTTGTCTGCACGGAAAGGTGAAAGTACATGACATGTGTTGCCAGGAACTGTAGTACGTTCAATGTGTTCCTCCACTATTCTGTTCCAGTCCTCCAGCTTGCGTCGTTGGCCCGTTGGGTGCGGTCCGCGATAGTCATCACGATTGCACAGCAGTCGGCCCCACGCAGAGATGGTGAATGTTTTTGTCCGTCTCCCACAGTTGAGACACCTCAGGGATGGTGGTTGCTTCTTGTCGCCGCCATACAGTGGTGCCAACACGTGGTATCCTTGTTGACGTGCTTCTCGGTTGTGCAATATTCTCTTTTCCTCATTCAGCTTCTTGCGGCCTGAGAGCCCTTGGAGGTCGCGCAGCTCCTGCTCCGTGTACCCCACCGTCGCCCTGACAACACTCATGGCCGTAGAATGCTGTTCACGTTTGCGGTACTCCCCAGATTCTCGAGCAACAAAGGCAGCGCAGGCTACAATATCAGTAGGTCTGACATTGTCTCTGATGTTTGCCTCCAGTCTGGGCGGTGTCCAACACGGTGGTGGTATCGAGGACCATGGTGGTGGTACTCTGATGCCAGCGTTCTTCTCCGTCGTTGATAGTGCCACGGCGTACAGCGTCTTCATCGTGTGATCATGGTTGATGAAGGTGGGTCTGCATAGAAAACCTGGGACCTGTCTGATCCCCAAAGGCGTCAGCGAACAACATGTAACACATACTCTTCTGGGTGCCAGTTTGCACTCGCAGAGTTTGGCGACGCGGGCTGCTGCTGTCGAGAAGTACCTCGCCATGCGCTCAAGCGTCGCTGTCTGCGGATTCTCCAGTGGCGTCCCAAGAGGAAAAACAGTTGCAATACTGAAATCCAGTGCCAGTTGAGCCCATGATACTGACAAAGGCGCCTTCTTAGTGTCGTCCGTCGCCCATCGCAGCTGGGTAAAATATCAGATGACTGCTGGGAACAACGCTTGTTGATAGCTCCACTGCTTGTTTAGTTTCGTTTGGCTGCCGCATAAACGTGTGTATATTCCGTGCGGAAGTGCACTGGAGGCTCTCCCTTCTCTCCTTCCTCTTCTCTCTTGGCTGCAGCCGTTTCAGGTTGAGCTTTGCGCTTTGCGGAAGGGACCGTCTGCCCCTAATCTCGTCATGGGGGGGCAGGAGTGACCCGCCCCAGGACCTCATGCTCCTCGCGGCCCCCCTTGCCTTGCCGCTCCTTGGAGCGCTGCTCGACCTCTTTTGTCCTGACTGCGGCCCGCCCGCGCTCGCGGAGGCGGCGCGCCTGCTAGGGGCGGAAGGGGGAGGCAAGCCGGTCCATCATCATCCTATCTCCGCCCCAGAGCATGCAGAGGAGGAGTTCTGCCAGGCGCCCGAGGGCGACGTCGTGCCTCCCCATGCTGGGCATATCAAGTCCCCCCTCCCGGCCGCATGCGTGACGGCCGGGGACCTCCCCAAGCTATCTCTCGGGGAGGGAGGGGGCACCGCCCCAGAGCATGCAGAGGAGGAGTTCTGCCAGGCGCCCGAGGGCGACGTCGTGCCTCCCCATGCTGGGCATATCAAGTCCCCCCTCCCGGCCGCAGGCGTGACGGCCGGGGACCCCCCCAAGCTATCTCTCGGGGAGGGAGGGGGCACCGCCCCAGAGCATGCAGAGGAGGAGTTCTGCCAGGCGCCCGAGGGCGACGTCGCGCCTCCCCATGCTGGGCATATCAAGCCCCCCCTCCCGGCCGCATGCGTGACGGCCAGGGGCCTCCCCAAGCTATCTCTCGGGGAGGGAGGGGGCACCTCCATCGCGTCCAACCTCGCTGCTCCCTCTCGCTCCCCCATTCGCCCCCCTCTGGCACCTCCCTCTGTCCTTCCTACTGCCCTCTCACCTTCCTCCACCCGGGGGAGGGGCCCCCCCCCCCGGCGGCATCTACGTGCGGCGGGGGCCCTCCGGAGCAGGTGCTCGGGGAGGGGAGGGGCATCTCCACGCCGATGGAGGCGCCTACGCCGCAGACGCACCGCGGCGGGGGTACGCCCGCCGCGGGGGGGGGAGGCGCCAGCCGGACCGGCCGGAGACGAGCCTCGGGCCTCGAGGAGGATCTTCGGGACGCCAGCGATCTTCGGGAGGTTCGGCGGGGCGCTCCCCCGGGAGCGGAAGGCGTTCTACGAGATGCTGGGGGTGACCTTCGGTATGGTGGAGGCGCTCTTCGGGGCGCTGGAGGGATGTGCCCGGGGGAGGACCCAGGGAGCACCGCGCTACGGGGGAGGGATTCACCGCGGGGGGGGGGGTGCGCCCCCCCCGGGTGAGTCAGCGGCGCTGCAGGCGCTGGCGGTAGCTTCCGTCGCCCTCATCGTCGCTGGCTGCCTCCCCCTCGCCGGGGCCGTCGCCGACTTCGTCGCTGGCGCCGCCGACGCCTCCTACGACGTCACCCGTGGCGTCTACCCCGCGGACGCCGGGGCGCTCCTGACTGCAGGGGCCGCCTTCTGCGCCCGAGCCGCCGGCGTCGCCGCCCCCATCGCCTGCGCAGGCTTGGAGGAGCGCCCCCACTTGGGCATCACCTCGGGGAGGGAGACTCATCCTCCTGAGGTCCAGCCGAACGTTGGGGGCGGTCAACCGGGCGCTCCCCGGCACGCTGGAGGCGATCCCCGGGATGCGGCCGCGCCCGCAGCAGAGACCCCCGGGGGAGATGGAGGTGATCTTCGGCATGCTGGAGGCGATCATCTGGACGCCCCCCGGCACGCCCATTGTAGCGCCGACGGCCTTCAGGACGATGGCGCTTCCCGTGGAGCTGGCGATCCTCCGGCTGCCGGCGATCCACGTGACGCTGGCGACCACCGGGCCGACCTACCAGGAGGGGGCCACTTCCTAGGTGGGATACCCCCTACGGGGGGGCCAACGCTGACGCCGACGCCGTTGCCGACGCCACCGCCGACGACGCCGACGCTGACGCTGACGCCGACGCTGCCGCTGACACGCATGCCGAGACTGGTTGCGGTCCCCGTGAGGCCCGAGACGCTGGATGCGACGGCCGGGACACAGGAATGTCCCCGGTGCCGACGCCCTCCCTTGTCGGGCGGAGGCCGACTCCGGCAGCCCAGGCGCCGATTCCGGGTCCGGGGGCAGCGCGTGGGCCGGTACCTCCCCTGAGGGAGGGAGCGCCCCCTCCTCTGGGAGGGCATCGCTCCGGCCACGCACTCGCCGCCGACAGCCCTGAGGCGGAAACGCCCCGCCACCGGGATGGCTACGACCGATCGGACGTTGACCCTTACCGGGGTGGGAGAGGCCCCCCCGGGGAGGGAGATGACCGTTTAGGAGCAGACCCTCACCGAGGGGGGGGCGACTCCCACCGAGACGGAGCTCGCCATCCAGAAGGGAGCCATCGCCGAGGAGGAGGGGACCCCGGCCAGAAGGCTGGCACCTACGCCGGCGGCGACGCTGACGACGCCGACGGTGACGCGGACGCCGACGCTGATGCTGACGCCGACGCTGATGCCGACGACGGCGCCGACGCTGACGCTGACGCCGACGCCGAAGCCGACAGCGACGCTGACGCCGACGCTGATACCGACGTCGACGCCCACGCTGACGCCGACGCGGACGCTGGCTCAGACGGGGGTTCCACCGGCATGCCCGTCCCCAGCTGCGGCGACGACGACAACCCCCTCCGGGGCCCCGACGCCGGCGCGGACGAGGGGGGTATGCCCTCCCAGGACGAGGGGGGGGAGAGGCATGCAGGCCCTCGAGCGCCCTCGACGCCGACGCCGACGCCGCCACCGCGGTCGCCTCCCGCGGAGTTCCTGGTGACCTTCCCCGTGGACGGGACTTTGGATGTTCCCCGGCACGCTGGAGGCGAGCCCCAGGAGGCGGACGGGCCCTCGTCACTGCCGATGACCCCTACCTCCACGCCGACGACGACGCCGACGGCAGCACCGACAGAGGCGCCCTCGTACCCCCCGGGGGAGGGGTGCACCTCCCCGGCGGGAGGATCGGACCTGCTCGTCGTCAACCGCCTCCCCCTCGTCGTCCCCGCCACTGTCGGCACTATCGCCGTGGTCGAGAACATCTCGGACAGCGCCCCCGCCCTCGGCCCCGCCGCCCTGGCCCGCATGGCGCCCTGCTTGGTGGGGCTGCCTGGCCCCCCCTTGGGGCCCGACGCTGACGCCGACGCCGACGCTGACGCAGGCGTTGACGCTGACGCCGACGCCGACGCTGACGCCGACCCGGGCGACGCCGACGCTGACGCTGACGCCGACGCTAACGCCGACACCGACGACGCCGACGCGGACGCCGACGCCGACGCTGACGCGGGCGCAGACGCAGACGCTGACGCTGACGCCGACGGTGCTGGCGCTGACGCCGACGCCGACGTTGACGCTGACGCGGGCGATGCCGACGCTGGCGCGGACGCCGACGTTGATGCCGACGCCGGCGATGCCGACGCCGACGCTGACGCCGGCGCGGGCGCCGAAGAGGCGCGGCCGGCGGGCGACGCCGACGGCGCTTACGCTGACGCCGACGCCGACGCTGACGCTGACGCGGACGACGCCGACGCTGGCGCCGACGCCGACGCCGATGCCGACACCGACGACGCCGACGCCGACGCTGACGCCGACGCCGACGCTGACGCAGGCGTCACCGCCCGTCGGGGCGGGGCGGCGCGCCCCGAGGCCGACGGGCTCGGAGGGGTGGAGCTCCCCACGCAGACGGCGGCGCCGACGCCGAACCCGAGCGCTCCATCGGAACCCTCCCCTCGCGCTGGAACCTCCCAGGCGGGCGCCCCTGGAAGGCGCTGCCCCTCCTGCCGCGGCCCGGGCCACCCCGGCGATCTAAGGTGCGGGTGGTGCGCGGGCCTACCTTGGGGGTGGTCGTGCGAGTTCACCTGGGATCAGGGAGTCCGGGAGATGCTCTACCCCCGGGAGCCCCAGTACTGCCGGCACGCTCCCCTCGTTCTCGGTCAACCGCGGGACTGTCCACTCGGGCCTCCGGGCGAACCCAGGGGCCCCGCCAGCCCGGGCTCTGGCGTCGGCGAGTTGGACGCGGTCGCCATCTCCAGCGCCGAACCCGACGCGGGCGCTGACGACCCCGACGCCGACGCTGACGCCGACACCAAGGCCGACGCAGGCAACGACCCCGGCGCTGGTCGTCCCCGTGCTCACGGAGGGCTACCTGCAGCTGAAGCCACCTACGGTGGAAGCGATCCCGACGTTGGCGCCGACTGGGGCACCAGGACCCTCTGGGTACATCACGCTGGAGGCGGCCTTCGGGACGCTGGAGGCGACCTCCGGGACGCGGAGGGGGCTGAAACTGACGCGGACGCCGACGCTGACGCTGACGCGGACCCGGACGAGGCCGACGCTGACGCTGACGCCGACGATGACGCGGACGCAGACGCTGACGCTGACGCTGCGCCGCCGGCGGCCGCGATGGAGACCTTCCCCCTGGACGACACCGATGACGAGGCGTTGGAGCAGGAGGGCCGCTTGGAGGAAGCCGGGGATGCGGCGTGCTGCCCATCCGGCTCCCCCGGCCCGCTTCTGCAGTACGAGTGGCTCGCGAAGCATCGCGTCAAGGCCAGCTTCTACGTGGGCGGCGTCAACCGCCCCACCTCCCCGCGACCATCTTCCTCAATGCCGCGGAGCCCCAGCCCGGGGAGCTGCCCCGACGATGGCGGCTCCTCCACGCGGGCGCCGGATAGCCCCGACGGCGGCGGCGCCCGCGGCGGCGCCGCGGCGGGCCGCCACGTGCCCTTCCTGGACCTTGCGGACTTCGACGAGGGGGAGGGCCCTGGGGAGGACCCTGGGGATGGCCCTGGGGAGGAGGGAAGTACCACTGGGGAGGGGCACCCACCTAGGAGGGCCCACACCAACGCCGACGGCAGCGCCGGCGCCAGCACCGAGGCCCGCGCCGACGCCATGTCCGCGGGGTGGTCAATATCGGCGGAGGCAGCGGCGGGAGATGCGGACGACAGCCCCGCCAGCGAGCCCGACCCCAACGCCGACGCCGATGACGAATCCGGCGACGCTCCCGCCTCCTACGTCTCCGACGCCGCGGCTCCGACCGCCAGCGGCGAGCACCTCGCCTCAGGCGCCTGCACTGGCGACCGTCCCGGCGGCCTCGACCCTGTGGTCGGCCCGGCCGGGGAAGCCCTGGCGGGGCCGAAGCCCGGGAGGGCCATCCTAGCCGTGCAGGAGCTCGCCAAAGACGCCCTGGCCGGGGACCGGCACTTGGGAGACGCCCGGGCCAGGGATGCGCCCCGGTCGGCGAGTCCTTCCGGCCGCCCGAGCTGATGGACCTGCGCCCCTACCGCGCCACTACGGTGGACCCCTGGTGCGTGGGCTGGAACACGTTCTACCCGCTGGCGGCGCAGCCGCTCTTCCTGAGCGCCGACCCCGACGGTGGGGTGCCCGCGGACTTCCGCGGCATGGTTGGCAAGTCCTTCCGGCCGCCCGAGCTGATGGACCTGCGCCCCTACCGCGCCGCCACGGTGGACTCCTGGTGCCTGGGCTGGAGCACGCTCTACCTGCTGGTGGCGCAGCCGCTCTTCCTGAGCGCCGACCCCAAGCAGCAGGACCCAGACTGGCTCCTTTTCTCGCGTGGCAACTATGGCGCCCTGCGGCAGCAGAAGAACTGCGTCTGCTCGCAGATGGCGCTGGACTTCATCCTGAGGCCCATGAGCCTGGACCCCTCCAAGCGCATGTCGATCGCAGACGCCCTCGGGCACGCCGGGCGCGCGGACCCGCGCTTCGGTCCGTGCCTCCTGCCCGCGGTGGTCCTGCCCGAGGCCACCCGCGGCGGCCAGGAGGGAACCGCGGACGACCAGGCCGCGCCCGGCTTCGTCGCGGCGCTTGGCGTGGCGCCGTCAGCGGTCAGAGAGGCCGCCACCGCCGGCGGAGCTCCTGGTGCGTGGCCGCTTCCGAGCTCGGGCATGCAGCCGAGCGCTGTCGCTGGAGAGGCCGCCGTGCCCTACTCCACCTCGAGGCAGGCCCACGGGGGCCCCGCCCTGCCCCCGCGGAAGCCCTTGGACGACGCCCTGGCCGGAGACGAGCTTCACGGAGATGATCGGGCCGAGTATGCCAGCGCTGACGGGCGCATCCGCTACGGCGCCGACGACGGCTTTGGTATCGGCAGCCCCTCTGACGGCCTCGCCCCCACGGGTGCCGACGGACCCTGGACCCGCGCCCCTTGGGCCGGGGGCCTCGGCCACTGGGAGGATCCCCAGGGGCCCCGCGGAAGGGGGGATCGCGCGCCGCCTCCCTCTGACGGCCTCGCCCCCACGGGTGCCGACGGACCCTGGGCCCGCGCTCTTTGGGCCGGGGGCCTCGGCCACTGGGAGGGTCCCCAGGGGTCTGGCGGAAGGGGGGATCGCGCGCCGCCTACGCCAACGTCAGCACCAACACCGGCATCGGCGCTGGCCCTTCGAAGGGAGGCGGAGGGGCATGGCCCACCGACGCCACCTACGCCAAGGTGGCCACCGACCTCCACGCCTCCGACACCAGCGCGGACCTCGCTCCCGACGGCGGGTAAGGCACCGGCTGTTGGGGGACCTTGGGAGAACCTAGGGGCCGGGAGGAGCGGGGGACTTGACGACGATCAGCCCCTGCTCCAGGTGGCAGGGCAGAGCACATCGCAGACTGGCAGCGGCGGTTCAGCAGCACCGCCAGGATACCTCAGGTCACGCCCCCGTTCGACGGGAGCGAGCCCGGACACTTCGGGCCACGTCCCCTGCGGAGGGAGCGCGCCCAGGAGGAGCGGGGGACCTGATGATGACCCGTCCCCGCGTCCGGGGGCAGTGCGGAGTGCATCGCAGAGGGCGGCCTTCTCTACTTCGATGACGGCATTTTCGAGGTCGGCTTCCTGCACCCCGTCGCTATACTCACCCTTCCCATGGGGTTGGGCAGAGAGCGCGCATGAGGTTCAGGTACGACCGACCCCGCCGCTACACTCACCCCTCCCTCCGGCTTGGGCAGAGAGCGCGCAGGAAGTTGCTGTGCGGTCGCCCCCGCCGCTAGGCTCACCCCTCCCGTTGGGTTGGGCAGAGAGCGCGCATGGAGTACCCCCTCATGCTGCATCTTGGGTGGCGACTCCGGGCAGGCTGGCTTCGTCGTCGACTGGCTCCCCGGTAGGCTACCCCTTCGAAGAGGCGACACCCGGTGGAGGGAAGAGGGCCACGGCCTGCGACGCCCTGGCTCCAGCCGAGGCTCCAGGCACCGACGGCGACCGCCCCTGGAGCGGGCTGCCCGCACTGCCTGCGGCGGCGAGCTTGCCCGCCCTGCCTCGGGACCCGCCTGCGTCGCCTCCATCGCTTCCGGACTTGCCTACGCCGCCTCCCGACTCGCCTGGGCGCCCCGCCTGCCTCCCGACTCACCGGCACGGCCTGCCTGCGCTGCCTGCACGGCCTCCGGGCGGGGAAGAGGGGAGAGGCGTCCCGGCCAGGGGAGGGCCCTGGCAGGCTGGGCGCCAGGCGCAGGCCGAGCGCCGGGCGGAGGACGGGGGGGAGGACACGTCCGACGCCAGCATTGGCTTCTGCACCGACCCCCCCGAGCACGGCGACGACGACGAGGAGGCGGAAGACGCAGGGGGCACCGACGCCAGCAGGGAGTACAGCACCGACCCCATGGAGCACAGCGACGACGAGGAAATGGCCAGCCTCGAAGTCCGCGCCCGCGGGTGCCTGGCCGAGCCCCGCGAGACCCCCGCCGCCGGCGCCGGCTCAGGGGCCGAGCGAGCGCAGGAGACAGCAGCATGGCCCGCCCTGAGGCCGGCGTCGGCGTCGCCGCTGCGGACGAGGGCGAAGCCGGCAGGTAGGGCGCCACCCTGGGAGGGGGCAAGGCCCGAGCTGGAAGGGCTCCTCCGCCCTCGCTTCGAGGCCCTGGAAGGGCGGCCCGGGCCCCAGGCCAAGGCCCCCAATGACCCCCCCGGAGCGGAGGGCACCCCTGCCGATGCCGACGACCACGGGGGAGCGACTCGCCAGGCGCGCGTGTTAACCACCCCGACGCTGAGGACGGGGGAGGACCGCGTGGAGGAGCTGGAGTGCCAATGCCTGGAGCGTGCTGGTGGAGGTCTTGGCTGGGCTCGTGGGGGAGAGCGTCCAGGAGACTTGGGCCTAGATCGTGGCGCAGCCCGCCGGGGAGATTCTGGCCTGGATCGGGGCGGGGGCCTTCCGGGATACTTCTGCCTGGATCGTGGCGGAGGCCTCCCTGAGGGGCCCATCCGGGACCGCAGCGTAGGTCTTCGTGGGGATTCTGACGGGGATCGCGGAGGAAGTCGCCCTGGAGATTGTGGCCCGGGTCGCGGCGCCGATCGCCGTGGAAATTTTGGCTTGGATCGTGGTCCCCCCCGGGGGAGGGCCCCGGGAGGAGGCGACCCGCGGGGCGCTGGAGGAGATGGTCATCGGGACTATGGAGGTGGTCTTCGGGACGCTGGAGGCGATCATCGGGGCGCTCTTCGGAGCGCTGGAGGTGATCTTCGGGGCGCCGGCGAGCTTCGGGGCGCCCCTCGGAACGACGGCGATCTTCGGGACGCCGGCGATCTTCGTGACGCTGGCGATCTTCGGGACGATTGCGACCTTCGGGGTGCTGGCGTTCGCCGGGGCGTTCCTCGGAACACCGGGGGGGAGCACGCCCCGTTGGGCCTCCCCCTGGGGCGGGGTACCCGCCCCCCGGAGGGCCCGCTGGGAGGACCCAGCTGGGAGGACCCAGCGGGAGGAGTCCTTGGGGCTGGAGGTAACCTGCAGGGAGCTGAAGGAGATCGAAGCGCTGGCGGACCTCGGGGCGCGCCTCGCAGCACCGACGCCGACGCCGGCACGGATGGTGCTGACGCTGACACCGATGGAGACGCGGACGCGGACGAGGACGCGGATGCTGGCGACGGTCCCGCCGATGTTCCTCGCCTCCCAGGAGTGGGCCCCTTGCACCTGCCGGGATCCCCTCTGGTTAGAGCGGTGCAGTGGCGCCCCGAGGACCTCCACTGGGGCGGGTGCACCCCCGCCGCCGTGTACGCGGCCGCCGCAGCACTGCCACCGGGATTGGAGGAGGGAGAGGAGGGCGAGACACCCCTCTGCCGAGGCGGCGGCGATCGAGCAGATGCTGACCACCGCCGACGGCCGCTTAGAACGGTGCAGTGGCGCCCCGAGGGCCTCCACTGGGGCGGGTACACCCCCGCCTCCGCATGCGCGGCCGCCGCAGCACTGCGCGCGGGATTGGAGGATGGGGAGGAGGACGGGACGCCCCGCTACCGATGCGGAGTCGATCGAGCAGATGCGGACCACCGCCGACGCGGAAGGAGCAGTTGCGGAGGGGGAGGCAACCGATCGGGAGCTGATCACCACCGCGGCGCGAACGACCCCTCCCACGACGGCGGCGACCTACCAGGGGGGAGCCACCTCCTAGGTGGGAAGGTCCACCGCCGGGGGGCCCACGCCGACGCCGACGCCGATGCCGTCATTGTCACCAACGATGCCGACGCTGGCGCGGACGCCGACGCTGACGCTGACGCGCGCGCCGACGCCGACGACGGTCCCCCTGAGGCCAGGGATGCTGGCGGCAACCGCCGGGGCGGGAGAGTGCCCACAACACCGACGCCTTCATTTCCTTCGCGGATGCCGACTCCTGCAACCTCGGCGCCGACTCCTCGTCCGGGGGCAACGCGTGGGCCGGCACCTCCCTGGAGGGAGGGGGCGCCCCTTCCCTTAGGAAGGCAATCTTCCGGCCGCGCACCCACCGACGACGCCGACGCTGACGCTGACGCCGATGCCGATGCTGACGCTGACGCGGACGCCGACGCCGAGGCCGACGCAGACGCCGACGCGGACGTTGACGCGGACGACGGCCCCGACACCGACGCTGACGCCGACGTCGACGCCGGCGATGCTGACGCTGGGGCGGACGCCGACGCCGACGCTGACGCCGACGCCGACGCCTACGCTGACGCCCACGCTGGCGCCGATGCGGACGCTGGCACGGACGACGGCCCCACCGGCGTGCCCTCCACCGGCGCCGACGATGACGACGCTCCCGTTTGGGACCCCGACGCCAACGGGGACGTATACGGAGGCGAACCCGCACCCAGCGCCGGCGCCGACGCACACCACGAGGAGGATGGGGAGTCCCCCAGGGAAGGAGGAGACGGAGGCGATCCGCAGGTCGCTGGAGGGTAGTACTTGGACGCTCCCCAGCGCGCTGGAGGCGAGTTCCGGGATGCGGACGTGCCTCCATCACCGCCGATAGCGCCTACCACGGCACCGTCGGCGGCGCCGACGGCAGCGCCGACAGAGGCGCCCTCGCACCCCCCGGGGGGGGAGCACACCCCCACGGCGGGAAGACCGGACTCGCCCGGCGTCGTGTGCCCCCCCTTCGCTGCCGATTTCACCGTCGGCTCCACCGCCGGGGTCGCAAACATCTCGGGCGGCGCCGTCGCCCTCGGCTCCGCCGTCATCGCCGTCGGCGGGAGCGTCGTCGCCGCTGTCGCCACTGGAGGGGGCCCCTTCCGGGGCGGTAAGGACGACTACCGGGGAATTGACCGCCCGAGGGGTGACCACGACCTTGGAGGGATGGGTCACCTCCCTCGGCCCTGGGAGGGGACCACGACCCCCGAGCCTGATGCTTGGGGCGATCCCCGGGATGACGGAGAAGCCCTTCGGGGCGCTGGAGGGGGGCCAGAGTTGGCAACGCTGCGACGCCCATGCCTTGCTTTTTGCGAGGGGAGACACACGCCGGCTTTACCCCCCGGCCCGTGGCAGCCCCAGCCCCCAAGCCGAAATGCAACCGAGCGCGCGCGGACCCGCTCGGGAGCTTGGGGGAACCGGCCACTCCCGGGGGGGAGTCAACCGGCCGGGAACTGGCCGCCGCCGCGGTGGAAACGACCCCTGCCGAGGCGGAGACGATCGGCCCGGGGCCGTCCATCACTGGGGCGGGAGCGACAACAACCACGGCGGAGGCGATGACCACGAGCTGACCACCACCGAGGTGAGGACGCCCCACTACCGGGATGGAGACGACCGATCGACCGCGGACCAACCCCTAGGGGGAGGGGACCATTACGGAGAGGATCCCAATACCGACTACCAGCGTCATGGGGGTTCTCGGCGGGACGCTGGAGGTGATCTCCGGGGCGCTGGCGGCCCTCAACACACCCTTCGGGCTACGCCGACTACCGACTCCTTAGAATGCTGCCCCAGCATCCCGCAGGACGATCTGTCGGAGACGCTCCCTATCGGGACCGGCTTCAGGACCGCCCCCCGCCCCCTGCTGAGCCTCCGCGGGGCGTCCCTGCGGCGTCCCGCCGGCGACTACGCCGGGGTCCCTCGAGCCAGATACCGCCCTACCGGCGACGCCGTCACCGACGCCGGTGGGCGTGGCGCCGGCACCGTTCCCGGAGGCGGCGGAGGAGTGGATGGGCGGTACCCGTCGGTCGAGCGCGGGCAGGCGGTGCGGACTCCGCAGGCCGCCAAATCGGAGGGGCCCTCCCCGGCCTCGCAAGCGGCGGGCACTCCCCCAGCCCTTCGAGAGGCGGGGGCCCCCCTGGCCGCGCGAGCCGGGGGAGCCTCCTTGGCCACGCCTGCGGGAGGAGCCCCTTTGGAGCTCCACGGCGTGCTGCGCGGCGATCCAGGCCAAAATCTCCAGGACGCCCTCCGCCCGGAACATCGGGATGTTCACCGAGGCGGTCTGCGCCACGATCCGGGCCAAAATCTCCAGGACACCCTCCTCCCCGATCCTAGCTATGACCTCCATCATTGTGATCCAGGTCATGGCGTTCCAACTCCTCCACGCAGCCCCCCCCCGCCCTCGACGCCGCTGCCGAAGACGACGGCTACGCGGAGGGGGGGGCGGAACCCATGGGAGGACGCTGGGCCCGAGCCGACGAGGCAGCCGCACCCGGGCTTCGACGCCCGAGAGGATCGTGCAACCACCCCGACCAGCGCCGTGAGCGGCCCGCCGGCGCGGGCGCGGCGGGGGAAAAACCACGACATCGAGCGCTGCCACGAAGTGCTGGACCTGATCTCGGGCGCCGCCGCGCGCCGCCCCGGCGGGATGCCGCCGGCGGCCGCGCGGGAGACCTTCCCCCTGGACGACCCCGAGGACGAGACGTTGGATCAGGAGGGCCTCTCGGAGGCCGTGCCGCGGCCGACGAGCGGGGCGCCGAACCAGAACTTTTGGAGGCGCCCACTGCAGCCCCGCCCACGGCATCGGCGCCCGCGTCGACGCTGGCCAGGCGGGTACCCCCTCCCAGCCGCGGCCGAGAGGCCAAGCAGCCGAGCGGCCGTGCGGTCGTGCGGCTGGGGGGAGGAAGGTGCGGCCGTCTCCCTCCCCGCTGCGGTCGAGCGGCCAAGCGGCCGAGCGGCCGGGCGGCTGAGGGGGGAAGGAGCGGCGGGCCGTTGAGACCGCCCGCGTTTGGAGGGAAGGGGGCCGAGGGGCCCCACCTTCCCGGAGTTTTTTGGTTTCCGCTCCGATCTTGCCCGCTCCGACCATTGCCGGGCTGGTCACTAGGGCCCGCCAAACTTTTGCTCTAGTCAAGGCGTGCGGGAGGGATGCGCACTTGCCTCCCCGGGGACCGGTTAGTTCGCGATTCGACGCGATTTAGCGATGGCCAGTTCCGGTGGCCCATGGACGCCGCCCGCCCGCGTGCTGCGCGTGCTGCCCGCACCTCGCGGCGCCGTCTGGGAGGCTGCGTGTTTGACCCCCCCCCCCTGTTTTGAACTGCGCCCGTGGGCGGGTGGCCTTGCGGGCGGTTGCCAGTGCCGCGCACGTCTTTGTCTGTGGGCCCGGCCGCCGCTGTGCGGCGGTACTGTCGCGAAACCTTGGGGTCTCGGCTCCGCGTCGGCAGCGCTGGCTCACCCACCCAGGTGCGCCTTCGGTTTCCGTTCCGTTTTTTGTAGCCGGTGGGCCACTGGGGCCTGCCCCAATATTGTTTTTGACATCGCCTTGGGCGGGCCACTAGGGCCCGCCCGTCGCCGTCTTCCTGGCCTGGGGGTGGGGGGCGCCGCTTAGGGCGGGACCCCAGTTCAGTGTGGCCTAAGTGCCCTCGGCTGTGCTCGCGGTCGTCGCCAGTAAAAATGCCCCCCCCCCCCCCCTTTCTCCCCCTTTCCCCTAGTTAACGCGAGCGTGTGAATATATAGTTTCGTTTGGCTGCCGCATAAACGTGTGTATATTCCGTGCGGAAGTGCGCTGGAGGCTCTCCCTTCTCTCCTTCCTCTTCTCTCCTGGCTGCAGCCGTTTCAGGTTGAGCTTTGCGCTTTCCACCTCCCACCCCACATCTTTTAACGCCCTCCATAAGTGAGGGTGGCCTAAGTGCCTTCGGCTGTGCTCGCGGTCGTCGCCAGTAAAAATGCCCCCCCCCCCCCCCTTTCTCTTAGTTAACGCGAGCGTGTGAATATATGTAAGTATCTCAGGTGATTTTGGCTGAAACACCCACTCCGCAACGTTTGGCTCCACAGGATCCCATGTAAATCCAGGAAAGGCCATCTTTGGACTTCAGGTACGCGGGTTGTCAAGTGCGGGATCAAAGTTGGGCGCTCCTGATGATGAAGCTGCTGTACTCGATACTGCCCCTGGTATTGCTGCTGCTATTGTGCTGGCTGAGGCTCCAGCTGGTGCCGTTGAGCTTGCTGGTGCTGCTGCTGGTGCTGCTGAGCTCGAGGCTGCTGCACTCGCTGCCGTTGCTGTCGTCCTGCTCGCTCGGCTTGGTGTTGCTGCTGGCGGCTTAGTCTTGCGTCGTAACCTTCTTGCTGTCGTTGATGGCTGTGGTGCTGCTGGCTGAGGCTCGCTTGGAATTGGCGCTTGAGGTTGGCCAGGTTGGTATTCTCCATCCTGGTCCATATCGAGATGTGCCCAAGGGTCGTGCTCGTCATCCTCGTGCTGGTGATGATATGCCTGTTTCAAATCAGCCTCGATGAGGGCCTGGGCCTGCGCGCAGCGCTCGTCACGCTTGTCCCTGCCCATGCTAGTCAGCTCCTTGGCCCTGCGCTCAAGAATGTGTGTAGCAGTATATTGCAAGAGAAAGCAGAGGTGCTGGTGACGCACCTCTGATGGTACCTGGTATTGACGTGCTGCTCGCACCGCTCCCTGGTCTGCTTTCTGATTGCGTTTCCACAAGGGTAATTCACCTTCATCAGCATTGTTGGCATTGCGGTGTGCTTTGTTTTTTTTGAATACGAAACGTCTCTGGGCCCTTCGCACGTACTCCAGTGGCTATAGGGGCCCAAAGGTCCTGATGTTGCTGTGGCGATATGGGTTCACCTCGTAGTAGAGCTGAGAACTGTCGGTAACAATAGCTGCTGTCCGTCAAGTAGAGCTGTGGGCCCCATGACCATGATACAAAATGTCTGAGGGCTGCGACTTCAGCTCCCTTCGCTCCTTGATATACACTTCGTAATGGCATCTCCACGTTGCAGCTGTGGTTGTGGCCGTGATACAAGGAATATCCTGACCTTCTCAGGCGCAGGTCTGAGGCTTGCCCTGGGCACGCCCCATCTCCAGCCACAATCGCGAATCCATTGTTTATGGGTAGTTGCTCCGCACTTCCTCCATTCTCGTAGTGTGGAGGTGGAGGGAGGTCAGGTTCATCAGGAAGTAGTTCACCGAAGAAAGCATCGTACTCGGGCCTGTCAGGCATGAGACCGCACTGTCGGAGACATACTGGGAGTTGAAGTAGAGCTTCAACGCTGTAGTGTTCAAGAAGTGGTGCTCTCAATGCGTCCCAGTGGCCACGCTGAAAGAGTATATGATCCATGCCTTCATCCACTGCTCCGCAAAATGGGCAGATATTGTGCTCCTGTTTACATGTGATATGCCGTAGTCGATGTCCTGTGGTAGTCGCCCCCTGCAGATACGCACGCAAGAAAGGTACCTGGTCACGGGTAGCTTTGGGCACGGCCACGTCGGTAGCATTAAGAAGAAGGGGCGGCTGAACTTTGGGTTCTTCATCCTCGTCCTCGTCTTCTCGAATTGCAGCATTCTCCGCCTTCCTGAGGATGGCGGTCGTGATATGATAGTTGATCCCATGCTTCGCTCCTTGCATGTCTTTCCTCTCAAGTAAGTGGGCATCAGATTTCCAAATCCATCTCCGTATATCCTCACGTAGCACATGCCGCCACCACCCCTGAGGATGCTTGGTAAGATATACATATTGTCCATTGGCTCGCCGAAATGCATCAGCCTGCGGCCATGTCCAGCCTACATCGTCAAGTACTGATGTGAGCCTTGCCATGGGCCCTCCATCATTTGGTTTG